TAGCGTGTGTATCATGCACGAAGAAGCTCTGCTTCTTTTCGGAGAAGAAAGGAAGTTTGGTTATTTTAAACCAAGTGAGTTCAGTTTTGGAATCCTCATAAAGGCCTGCTCTGATCTCACTAAAGAAGTAGGAATGCAATTTCATGGTTTGATGTTCAAATATGGTCTAAATTCTAACTGTTTTGCTGGAACTTCTCTTATTGACATGTATGGCAGGCTTGGATTCATACAGAGCTTGGAAGACGCTTTTGAGGAAATCCACTCTTGTGACATCGCTCTGTACAATGCAATGATTGGCGGTTTCTCGAGAAATGGGCTCGATTCGATCGCTTTGGATTGTTTCATTGAACTGTTATTCGAAGGGTTCGCGCCCAATGAGTGCACCTTAGCTTCTGCACTCAAATCTTGTGCTGTTTTGAAGTCTGATAACTGTGGAAGAATGATTCATGGAGTTGCAGAGAAGTCGAAATTCTGCGAAAATCTCGTAGTAAAAACCGCTCTGATAGATATGTATATGAAGTGTGGGAAGGCAGAGGAAAGTTGCAGAATCTTTGATTCCATGTTTGAAAGAAACACAGTTTGTTATAATTCCATGATTTTCGGGTTAGCCCAAAATGGATATTTTGATGAAGCAGTGAGACTTTCGATCGAGATGAAGTCACTCTATATAGAACTTGACTCATCAACATTCGTCGCCTTGATGAACTCTTGTTTGGAGCACGAGTTCACCATCTATGGTGATGCTGTTAAACACGGATTTGGTTCGAACCTTATGATCATAAACACCCTTCTTAGTTGCCTTATCAAGAGAGGATCTGTCGAAGAAGCTCTCGAATTGTTCGAAAAGATGAGTGAGAGAGATGTTGTTTCTTGGACGGCTATTATTTCAGGACTCACCCAATTGGATCTTCATTATAATTGTATTGAATTTTTTAAATCAATGTGTTCTTCTGAGATCTCTCCTAATAGCTTCACCTTTTCCAGTGCTTTGAAGGCTTGTGGGAGCTTAGCTAATATAAAGCAAGGCAGATGTATTCATGCTTGTGGAATCAAGCATGGTGTCATGGATGAGTTCACCAACAGCTCTCTTCTAGACATGTACCCAAAATGTGGGGCTTTGGAAGATGGTAGAGCACTTTTCGACGAGATTGGGAGTAAAGATATAGTCTCATGGAACACGATGATCACCGCATATGCGCAACATGGTCGAGGACAAGAGGCTCTAGGGATGTACATGATGATGCAAGATCGAAATTTGGAGCCAAATCATGTTACTTTCGTGTCGCTTCTGTCAGCATGCAGTCACTGCGGAATGGTGGAAGTTGGAATTCAGCTTTTCGAGCTTATGGTTTCGAAGCATGGAATCGTTCCTCTTATGGAGCACCATGCCTGCATGGTTTACTTGTTTGGTCGGGCGGGGTTTTTGGATCGAGCAAAGTTGTTCATTGATGCTATGCCATCGGAGCCGGATGCGTCGATATGGACAGTGTTTTTGGCGGCTTGTAAGCTCCATGGCGACTTTGAGTTAGCGCAATTGGCGAGGAAGAAGCTTAGTGGAATGGTTTGGGAAGATAAGCCAACAGTTGTTCTTATGTCTAATATGCTGTCTGAAGTAGGGAAATGGGATGATGCTGAGGAGGAGAGGAAGAGAATCAGCATGGAGGGGGTGAGAAAGGAGCCTGGATTGAGCTGGGTGCAGATTGCAGAAACTTTTGCTTGAATGTTTCAAAGAGAGCGTTTTTTATATTGCTTGCTTCTGCAAAATTGCACCTGATGATTTGAGGGGAATGAAAGAAGGGGAATTTACATACATGTCACCTAATTTCTGTGTATTTACATGTGTGATAACTAAACTTTACTTTTTTTTTTTACATTTATATCACCCAAATCTTTCATATCATATAAAAATTGCCTAAATTTGTTTGCAACCTAAAAATTTAAGCTTATGTAAGTTATATGTACCTTATAATTATAATTGTAAGTATTAAGAGAATTATGACATTTGTTGGAAATATTCCTTGTAATTATCAACAACAAACCATTGGTATCACACTCTCCCACAATCGAATTTTGATTGGAAAATGCTACATTTGGGTTTATTCGACCGACCTGCCTGCTATAAGGAGCCAAGCAGTTGACGGTGGCCCGATGATGGCTAGTACTACTGATATCTTCAATCAATAATTCAAATAATCAACATTGTACGTCTCGTCATCGTAAGCGCATCGATAGTGATAACCAACGCTTTGATACTTGGATTAAGGCACTATTGTAGATAAGGTCCGAAGCTCTCATTTGTGATCACGAAAAAAAATGATGGCAACATCCTACCATTTTAACACGAATATTCTCTCCTCCCTAAATGAATGTATCTTTGAAAGGGTTGGTGTAGCTCAAGTGGCAGACAAACTTAGAGATGTACGCTATAAACTTTCATATTATATTAGCGTGTGTATCATGCACGTAGCTATATTCTCAATGTACGCTAAAATTGCATTCTCGATGTGCATTTACATAAAAACATGAAATGTTATATTATATTTTGTTTTTTAGGTCCATTTACACGCAAACGAGACAATTTTTACGTACTTACATATCTGACCTATACTTTCATATTTACATGCATGCCACCCAAATCTTTTAACTTCATAAAATTGATTGTTACTTAATTCACGCAAAGATGTATAACCACAAATATTATAAATGTGGTTATAAAATTAGATACGTAAATGCTATATCAATTGAGTCGGTGTAAATTAACCGAACACGAACGAACATAGCTTCTGTTCGTGTTCAGTTCATTTGAAATTTAATTTATTTGAAATAAGCTCGTGTTTAAAATTGTTCATGAAATCACTGTTGGTGTTTGTTTTTTAACGAACGAGCCAAACACAAATTGTTCGCGACCGACGA